CACACACACACACACACACACACACACAACACACAACACACACACACACACACACACTAACACACACACACACACACACATCACACACACACACACACACACACACACACACACACAACACACACACACACACACACACATCACACACACACACACACACACACACACCACACACACACACACACACACACACACACACACACACACACACACACACACACACACACACACACACACACACACACACACAACACACACACACACACACAGTTAATTCACCAAAATAACTGTATTGCCCAATACATCCAGAATAAAAAAACCTTATTTATTCTGTGTAAAAACACAGATAGAGAAATATTTGAAGAAAACTATAATAACATTAAAACAAATTAAAATATAAAATAATATAGCAGTATTTACATAGAAATTGAATATAATGAAATATGGAATACAATTCGGCAGTAATACCAAAAGCAAACAGATATTGTGTGCATTAATGCAGTCTATGATGTGTCAGTATGACCTCATACCATCTCAATCAATAAGGCTGTGCTGATCCTCTCTGGGGGATCAATGGGAGGCTCTTCCCTCTCCGACGCACCGTACCTCTGATCAGGATGACTGAGAGGATTTTAAAAAGTGACTCAGCGCTTTGATTGTGAGGCTGTGTGCTCTGATGAAGCTCAGTAAGCGGCAGGAAGACTCTTAAAGGGGAAGCTGCCATGCTTTCCCACAGTCAGTGTATTAAGTATAGAAGATGCAGCTTGGTGAAAAAGACTGGATTTAAAGCTAACAATGTACGAGGGCAGTAGCAACATGTATTTAAGGAGTCTCTCTCACACAGACAATCCAAATGACTTAAAATTATAGTTAAACTGCACTTAAAGGTCACCTATCATGCTATCATCAGGCAATAGCATAGGTCTCAGATATATACAAATATATAAAAACATCTCTATGAAGTGTTTTGCTCCAAACACCAAACAGATCATTCTAGCCATGCCTCATATCCCTCTATTTCACTTCCTGTTTCTAAAGTGCTGATTTGGGTATAAAGCTTTAAAGAGGAGGAGTCTGAGCTCATGCGGGACCCGGCAGCTACTGTCTAAACTAAATGCTGCCGTGATGAAACGCCATATCATGGATTATCAAGGATTCTCTCTGAAACAGTTTGGAGCTCAAAGGCTTTCTCTCTTGCCGGTTATACCACAAGGTGAGTTCCTTTTTACTTCCTGCTTCTTCACACACATGCTCTCCAGTACAGGTTAGCTCTGAGCGTTAGCGATGCTAATGTAAACACCGACCATATTACGTCCAAAACAGTCGGGCATTGTTTCTGATAGCAACGTTTCTGATTGGGCCGTGGGTCCACATTTCAGATGTTACGTCATATCGGACGCAAATCTGGATCAGCTCCGTTGTTCCCCGTTTTTAGAGATTTGGGTACGGAGGAAAAGAGAGAGGGTTTTATTTCCTGACGCTGCGTGAGTTCCCCGACACACCGGGGACACATGTTGATGGAGAGAAGACATCACAAAGTGACTTTTGCATGATAGGTCTCCTTTAATGGAATATGTTAATTTGGGGCAACTACTTAAAACATAATTAATTTAAGCCTAATTTAATAGGCTTAAATGCACTGTTTTAATCTTGTACTATGTATTGTCTTTGGGATTTGAATGTGTAAACTTGTTAGTGTAGTTCGGTGACTAAATTGATCGAAATAAAACGATTCTTTTATTCTTTTAATTTTTAGTATTGGTTTTTCAGTTGAGTTATACTTAAAGTTCAGGTGATCAACTGTTAAAAACATGCTGTTCAAATTTTGTTTTTCAATAAATGGATGTTTTCACAATAAATGGATAATCGTTTTTAATAATCCTGATATCAATTATTGACCCAAATAATCGAGATTATGATTTTTGCCATAATCGAGCAGCCCTAACCCTATGTCGTTGTGTCCCTGGGAAAACACGTCACCCCAAATTGCTCCTGAGAGTAATGCTCACAGTACTGAATGTATGCAAGTCACTTTGGATAAAAGCGTCTAAAGAGTGACATGTAATGTAATGTAAAATAAGTTTAGATGTTGCCATCCTACAGAAATGTACCTCTGGTAGTTCCAGTTGGTAAAAAAGTACACCGACTATAGAAAAGTACCTCATATAGCCCCACCTCAAACCCTCTAAAAATGTCCCTTTAAGACAGGGGTGTCCAACTCAATTTCATCAATCAGCATTATGGTTGCATCCAAAGGGCCGGTTGTAACTTTAAGACTATATAAATATACATATATAAATATATAATAATGTATTATATTACATAATTGCAAGTGTCTTCAGTGCGCATGTCACAAAATGAGATGCATTGTGGGACATGTAGTTTATGGGCAACGTGCTTCTTTCAGAGCTCTAGCGGGCCACAGTTTGACCCCCCTGATTTAAGAGGAGCTCCGAATGTCTGACAGAAGGAGTTAGGAAGGGGTTAATAAACAGGAAGCTGGGGTCATACCGTTCATCAGGTCCAGGATGAAGCACAGCTTGTCGGGGGTGTGGAAGGCGTACGTCATGCACACGATGAACGGGCAGTCCTGCACACAGAAGGGGAGGGGGGTCATAAATATTTAATAAAAGTCTTAAAAAGGTCAGAAAAGTGTACGTAAGGTTTTAATGTAAAGCGTGCTGGAAGAAGTGTGTAGATCCTAGGAGAAGAACTAATACTATGACGTAAAAAACACGCATTAATATTCATATTTCACTTAAATACATCATACTCTAACCTGCTGTTTATACTACTGTTTATACTACACAGTGCATTCATATATTAATATATATATTAATATATTAAAAATTATTAAAAAGTCAGACAAATGTACGTAAGGTTTTAATGTAAATTGGCGTGAAGAAGTCTAATCCAACTTTATTTATATCTGCGTATATCGAAAAATGTGTGTTTACGTAATATTTGACAGTGAGAATTAAGTGATCATGCTAAGCTAACATGCTAATATTAGACAAACCCAGGCTAATTTCTGATGACACTTTCTGGACAAAATGTCTGGGTTTGTTTCCAAAATATGAAATAATTTAACCTCTTTGGGCGTCAAATGGTTAATTAATTAGCTAAATGTATGTTTGGAGGTACTGATAACAACTCAGACATCTTAACTGCATACCTCTTCTGGTATTTATAAAGGTCACAGGTCAAACTATTTGGAAACGTGGTTTAATATTCAATGAGAACAATTCATTATAAATTTAAAAAACGTTATCACATAAGTGGAACATAACGTAGCATAACGTCCAAAAAACCCAATTATTTTAGTGAGGTAAACTATATAAAACACAGGTGATCTTCTCCTACCGTAGGAATGATTTATTAATATCTGCGTGTATCGAAAAATGTGCGTTAGTAATATTTGACAGTGCTCATGCTAAGCTAACAGGCTAATATTAGATAAACTCGTCATATATTACCTGACACACACTTCGGTGTTTATTAAGCACTAATCTACGTGAGATCTGGACGATCTGATGCAATGTGTTTCAGTTTGGTGATGCACAGCTGTAAGTGTTTAGTAGACGGTGATGATCTGAGTCATGTGATCTGAGTCATGTGATCTGAGTCATGTGATCTGAGTCATGTTGTAACTCACCCCCGTGCTGACTAATGACAGCATGATCCTCTCGTTCAGCGCCAGAGTCTCCCCCTGCTTCATCTTGATCCTCTTCTTGTCCAAACACTTCATGGCATACCTGACATTCAAACACACACTCAGTTAGCACACATTTTGAATAACTGTGGTGTTTTTTTCATGTGCAATATATATATATATATTAGGGGTGGGGGAAATCAATCAACGCTGGTATCAGTTTTGTCTATCAGCAATCTCGGGAGTATTGTGTATAGAAAGTGTTGAGTTATATTTTCTCGCGCTACCTAACATCCATGAAGGCAACATGACAGAGAGAGGGCTGTCACTCAGGATGCCAAACTACTCTTTGGTAAGCCCCGCCCCCCCAAAGCAACATCAGGGCCAAAAGTTTGAAAGCGAAAAAACAGGATTTGAAACTGAAACAATTAATGTTTTGAATCTGAAAACGTAAAATCTGCAACTGAAAAAAATAACGATTCAAATATCAAAATATTACGGAGCCCCTAAAGGGACCTGAAAGCGTTACCAAGGAGGAAGTGGAGCACACAGGAGGAGGAGACAACCATTTCATTGCAGACTGTTATGTTTACGTGGGGAAATGACAGTGCATACATTATTTGAGATATATTTCGAACTCGGGCTTAATTTTAAGGACATTTCGACCAGGGGTGTAGAGCTATTTGTTTAAGCAGATTGGCAGAACAGGAGAGTCTGTAAACCAGTCTTCTTTGATCCATGAATTAATGTCCGAGCTTTAAAGGGAAACAAGCACTCAGAACACACACACACACACACACACACACACAGCTGAGCAGAGCACACACAAACTCATCAGGTGACCGGACATCTCCTTCATATAAAACTAATAACAGGAGGAGTAATCGGGCAGTTCGATGTGGGTAGAGAGGTGTGTGTGTGTGTATGTGTGTGTGTGTGTGTATGTGTGTATGTGTGTGTGTGTGTTGGGCAGACTGGCCATCTGTAGAATCTGGAGAATCACAGAACGACCGGTCGTCAAGGGCCGTTGACGACCGGCTCGGTTTGCTGACGGCCGATGTTGTGTCAAATCATGCACCCCGTCGTGAAATGCACCCCTTGACACGGGAACGCGCATTTGAACGTATAGTCCGCTATTCCATGTTGTCTTTTTGATGGTTGGGTTGTCAAATCCTGGATTTTGCATTCATTCCTCACTTATTCTTCAGTTCATTGTGACGTCCTGTCTGTATACTTGTGCTTTACAATGTATTGTTTATTTTTACGTCAAGTGCTTGAGGGTGGGATTAATAGAAACATTTTATTTTGGGGGGTGCTTTTTATGAACAGCCTGGTTGCCACGATATGCACCCCTTGCTATCTCTGACAGTAAACGTGTCACATACATGAAACTTGCTCCATTTATTGGTACTAGTCCTACAACTATACCCTCCAAAGTGCTTGAGGGTGGGATTAATAGAAGCATCTTTTTTTGGGGGGTGCTTTCTACGGCAGGCCAGGGGGTGCATTTCACGACGGGGGTACATCATTTGACACAACACCGGCACCGCCCTTACATTTTTATGTTTTAAACGACATCATTGAAGTTGCGCTCCACCGTTTCCCCGCAGCGAGGCTCCCCCTGTTGACAGTTCACTAGCACATCCCCCCACCCCCCCCCCCTCAAATAATGTATGCCCTGTCATTTCCCCATGTAAACATAACAGTCTGCAATGAAATGGTTTTCTCCTCCACTTCCTCCTTGGCGCAGCGTTGACTTTCTCCAAAACAAATAAAAAGCCGGACTTTTTTTCTCTCTTTTATTTTCCCATGTCCCTTTAGGGCAGGGGGGTCAAACTCAAGGCCCGGGGGCCAAATCCGGCCCACGACTTCATTTCATGTGGCCCCACAAGAACTTGCAAAGAATATAATATGTTTATTGTACGGTTACATGCCGCTTTACAGAAGCACATTGCCCATAAACTACATGTCCCACAATGCATCTCAAATTTGACTTTTTTCTCGGAATTTGACTTAGTTTTTTCAAAATGTCACTTATTTTTGATCTTTTTAAATCATTTTGTGTCATGCGCACTGAAGAGACTTGCAATTGTTTACCCCAGACTTCTGCTTTCAGACGTAGTTAATTCTGAAGGTATTACCCTATCCGATAATAATCCAATGCAGAGGCAATCATGTAATATAATACATTATTTTATATATATTAAATATTTATATATGTATTCTTATATAGTCTTATATATAAAACTGGCCCTTTGAGTGCAACCATGATGCTAATGTGGCCCGAGTTGAAATTGAGTTTGACACCCCTGCTTTAGGGGCTCCGTAAAATATGTATAAAAGTGAAATATAAAAAAAAAAATGTATTCCAAAAAATTGCTGAACTGAATCAAAATAATATTCAACCCGATTACTTTTTTAAAATACTTATTTTTATTTTGAATACATCATTGTATTTTTCAAAGTTCAGGATAAAAACTTTCAAATAAATTGTATTTTTTTGAATGATGGAAACGTATGACCCTGATATAGCTCCATGGGGAGCCTGGTGATTCCCACCTCTAATATATAAGCCGTTAATAACTATGCAATATATACCTGGCTGCTAAATCCTCCGAACTGTTACAGGATGTGTGTGTTTTGTAAATTGTGTAATTTTTATAATTTTTGTATCTTTAATTTTTCTTTCTACATGCTTCTTAGGGTGCGTTCACACCTGCCTTGTATCGTCCGGTTGAATCGAACCCTGGTGCGTTTAGCCGCTTAGTGCGTTTCATTTGGGTCGGTGTGAACGCAGTCCTCTGACGTGAACTAAACAACCGGACTCGGGTCCGCTAAAAGAGGTGGTCTCGGAGCGCTTGCTAGTGAACTCTGGAGCGGTTCATTGCTGGTGTGAACGCAGTCCGCACCAAAACATAGGAAGCATAGTATTTACGAGTCACAAGAACGCGGACATCTTCATTTCTTTAGCGAAAGTCTTTCAAGACATCCGCGGTTGTTTAGTTAAAGAGTGAAGCAGAATGAAGTGCTGAACAGTGTCGTGTAAAGTAAGAACACCTGTCGTCGGTGAAACGCCCTCCTGACTGCAGAACGTCTCTCATTGTGTTATAATGTTTTTTAACGGACGTTGTCTGATTATATAATCATATGCGCGGGCCGCTAGAGTCTGTTGATCTCCAGATTAACAGCAGCATGAGAATAACCTGCCGAAAGTGCCGATGCTCCATGGCGGAGGCTCCGGTAGAAATTGCCCGAATTTGCGTTTTTACCCCCTTAATGTCTGACCAATGGCACATGACTTGTGTTTAAAGTTTATAGTCCGTTTGAGTTTTGCCGTGTGAACGCAAACCGAACCTTCTGGAAAATGAAAGAATGCAACAAACTGTGGTCTGGTGCGCAGCAGAGAGCGGACTAATAGGTGTGAATGCACCCTAAGTGAACATGAAGCTGTCTTTGTCTCTTCCTGCTGTAACAAATGTAAATGTCTCCTCTGAGGGACGAATAAATGGATTCTGATTGTGTTTCTCCTCACATCTTCCCGGTGTCGGCCTTCCTGCAGCCGTACACTTCTCCGAATCCTCCTCTGCCGATGATCCGATGAACGCTGAAGTCGTTCATGGTCAGCTGAGGAGGAAAGAGGAGAGGGGTTTCAAAAGAGATGTGAAAAACACATTTCAGAGCACAGGTTCGTAATGGTTTGAGCTAAAAGAGCTGGATAATAAACCACAGAACCCGTCGTATAAGTCCCTTGGAATCATTGTAACTTTGTTTTTACCCTTAGTCGTATTTACGTGAAACAATAACACAACATATATTAGTTTGATAGTGAAGAGAGAAGACATAATAGC